ATTAGTAGTCACTGTGTGCTGAGTACCGGCACTTATTAGTGGTCACTGTGTGCTGAGTACCGGCACTTATTAGTAGTCACTGTCTGCTGAGTACAGGCACTTATTTGTAGTCACTGTGTGCTGAATACCAGCACTTAAGTTATTAGTAGTCACTGTGTGCTGAGTCTGAGTACCGGCACTTATTAGTAGTCACTGTGTGCTGAGTACCGGCACTTATTAGTAGTCACTGTGTGCTGAGTACAGGCACTTATTTGTAGTCACTGTGTGCTGAGTACCAGCACTTATTAGTAGTCACTGTGTGCTGAGTCTGAGTACCGGCACTTATTAGTAGTCACTGTGTGCTAAGTACCGGCACTTATTTGTAGCCACTGTGTGCTGAGCACCGGCACTTATTAGTGGCACTTGTTAGTAGTCACTGTGTGCTGAGTACCGGCACTTATTAGTAGTCACTGTGTGCTGAGAACCGGCACTTTAGTCACTGTGTGCTGAGGAGTACCGGCACTTACTAGTAGTAATAGTACTCACTGTGTGGTGAGTACCGCCACCGTTTTCTCCACACACAAAAAGACCTGTCAGTTATTTTTAATCTGTTCAGAAAATTCCTTCTTTGAGAAATCAAATGAATTCATGAATATTAAAATAAAAAAACTTACGTTGATTCTGTCTATTCAATTTCCGCTACCGCTACTGAAAAAGCAAAATGCCAAGCGTAGTTCCACATGTAATAATCCCAGCAATCTCGTGCAAACAATCGTCACTGGTGGCATCAAGACATTTGTTTAAATTAAATGGTGTAGTTTCCTAGCGAATTCAGAAACCAGTTTTCTTTGATTCGGCCACTTTTGGTGAGTGAGACTCAAGCGGAAGTTGTAGCCAGTTATACTTTTTAGTTGACCTGTTAAATGTAAAAGTTAATATTTCAAACGAAACGGAAGATTTGTTTTTGTAACCTAAAGTAAACATCAGAAAAAGTCGTATGCTGTAAGCTAATTAGAAACTGACTGATGATAAATAACGGTAATGAATAGTTAATTATTAAAAAGGTGTTGCATTACCTATTAAATGGTATATATAAATCATAAAACAATCATGCAAATGAGAAGCGAAGGAACTCAAAACACCAGGTCGGGACGGGACGTCCAAAAGTCGCCTGTGTGTTTAGACTAATTACTAATTAAATTAGACTGTCGAAGTAAACTTCTTTCTTTCTGTTTATTCGCCGCGTCTAGAATGATGCAGGATTCAAACTCTCGTCCTTTTGACAGTCTTTAGAAGGGGATTTTGTTAATTTTCACCACACAAAATTATTATTGTTTTAAACTAGCTGTACCCGGCCATGCGTTGCTGTGGCCCATAATGGTGAAATGGAGAGAAAAGAAAATAGCTCTCAGCTAACAGTGTCTATAATATCCCCCCTCCTCCTCCTCGACCCAGTCATATCTCCCTCTCTGCAGGATTGAAAAATCATCGCCTGGCGAAATTATTAAAATAGAAATAGTAAAGAAATGATAACTTTAAATAAATATGTTAAGCTCTCTCAGCTAACTGTGTCTGGCATAACCCCACCCCCCCCCCACCCCAAACCCCCCCCCCCACCCCAACCCCCAATCATATCATTCTCTCCGAAGGATGCGAAAGTCACAATGTGACGAAATATTCTAACTAAATTTAGCTTGGCATCCGTGTCCACCCAGACTTAAATAGGTAGAACTTGTACTGAGAAGTAAATGTTTCCAGTGTAACAGCTACCACTTCACTCATCCAGCACCAGTACTACTGCAACCACTACCACGACCACCACCATCACAACAACAACAAAAACTGTCACTGCAGTCTGTATAGGTCAGTGGATAAAAGAGGAGCATTGTGTCCACCCAAACTAAACAGAACTGTAAGCCGTCTTAGTTAACAGTGTCTGTCATCGCTGTAGCGACGTGATTAGGCTAATTGGGACTTAACTGAAATCGGATGTCTTTGGGCGAAAGGCCAGATATTGCATCCTAGCTGTAAACCACAACATAACGTGGCAACCACCGTTTTAAGGGAAAAAGAACAATTATCACCGAGCGGGGAATCAAAAGCCGGGCACCCGTTTGAAGGATGACATACTCTTTACAACTATACTACTGAAGACTGAAGAGTTTAGGTCAGATATCGCAGCCTACTGTAAACCACAAAACAACGTGCCAATGGCCCTCTCGAGGGCGAATGAAGATTACCCGTGACATGACCATTGAGCATCACATTGCCGCTGTTGCAGGCTAGCTGTAAACCCCAAAACCGAAGAAGGTGTAGGTATCGCAGCCTAGCCATAAGCCACAACACAACATGCCACCCGCCCAGTTAAGTTGAAAAAAAATTATATCGCCTAGCTGGGAATTGAACGCGGGTCACCCGCATGATAGGCAGAATAGCTACCAACTACGCTACCAAACACTCAAGCAAATAGTGGAAATGAAATTATATAATAATGCAAAGTTCAATAAAAGCTCAGCAGTCAAATATGGCCAATTTACTAAAAACAAATCCGGGCCGGCAAAGAAACAAATAAATATTTGATCGTTGCTGGAGCTACGTCGTTCATGGTTTGTGCGATTTTCTGACAAAAAATTACGCTTGGAGTCAAAGGCAATGTTGAGTATAAATTTGAAAGCAATCGGTTCAGTAGTTTCCGAGTTTTTAGCTAACAACATCGGAAAATTAACATTTTTATTAATATAAATAATGCCTTTCACTAACTTATACAAAACAGTATATACCCCTGTAGGAAATCAAATCTTCTTCTGCTTCTTCTTCTTCTTTGCGTTCGGTTTCATATGCTCAGATCAGACCATCAAGTGGGTTGCCTCTATGAACTCACATGTCAGTAGCAGATCCTTCATAGTTCCCCATAGCTTGCTCTGCACACTTTGCTCTTGAGACCAGGTGTCTTTTCAAAGTTGTAGAGTGGGCAGGTCTGCAGAATGTTCTCACGTGTTTGTGGTCCTGTTTGACAGGCACACTGTGGGGATTGTTTTATTTTATGCATGCCGTAGTTGAGCCTGCAGTGTCCTGTTCGTAGATGGAAATTTGTTGAAATCTTTTCTGTTGAGTCTGCTAATGGGGTCTTGTGGATGTTTAGTGTTAGTTTGTTCTCTTCATAATTCCTTGTATTATCCTTTGATAATTGTTGATTTCTGGTAATGACAGTGAATGGGCATGCTGTTTCTCCTTTGTTCCATTTTTTTGCAAGTCTGTCTGCTCATTTCCTTTTATGCTCAATGAGCCGGGATCCACTGGAGAACGATTTAATTGTTTCTTGTAAGTCTGTTTAGCTGGCGGGTCAGTTCTCTCTCCATGTTGTCTTGTGGATTCCTCTGAGTCGCCTGGAAGACTAACATGCAGTCACAAAGGAAAACATTTTCGCTGTTTTTAATTTTTCTTTCCTCGAGCAGTTGGGCTAAATCAGTAATTGCTTGCTGCTCTTCTCTGAAGTTTGTTAAGAGCCTTCCAGAGGTGCATGACATTTCTGCTGTGGTTTCATCTGTCAACATGATGACTGATCCAGCTCCTCCAAGGTAACTCTTGGAAAGTCCTCTCTGAAGCCTCATCTGCCACTAGGCATGAAGAAAACTGATATATAAACATCAGGATTGTAGTTTGATAAAATGCAGAGTAGTATATTTTCTGTAGAACCAGTCAGCTTCAACACAACAACAACATCCCCTGATCATTCCTCACTGCACTATTCTCTTCAGACAGGGATGATTTTTTGTATGTGATCCTCCACACTGTTTATCGCTCCAAAAGGGCCCTTACAACATCTAGTTTATTATGCATCAATTTACCACCAAGAGTTGCAGAACAGGCCAGTCTTTCTGCCTGTTCATTTCCCAACACACCGGTATATCTGGAGAAAATATGTAAAGGGCGCTAACTACCCTGAACATCTAAAGGGATGCATGCCACTGCATGAAGCATGCCTGTTGTTACCTTTTTCAACATGTTCTGTGAGTCTAATACAATTAGGACATGTGTGTGCAGCTAGTTCTCACTCCAGCGGGAGGCTGCAGGGACCACCTAAACTTCCATTCTCAAACTAGATCTTGTATCATATCCAAGGCTTTTTATCTCAGGCTTTGGAAATAGTTGGTTCCTGTACATTTGCTGGGAAGTCAGTATGGAAGAGATGTGGGTTGTCATGACTTAAATGTGAAGCTCTAATATTTAATTCTTTTTCTTCTTTTGTCTCACTGATACCAGGTTGTAGCCCAGTGTGGTGGTCTTCTGTATTTACCTTGCACTTCTCGGGTGGCTTGGAGGGTGGATTAGTTCATCTTTTTTTTTTTTTTTTGCAAGTTTTAAGTACACCAAAAATCCATCTCTTTCAGTGGTCTACCCCTCTTTCCTCCCAGATGTTTTGCTGTTAAAAAGAAAAGAAAAAGATCTGATATGCAGTCTGGTTTGGCTGTATTCTCACCAGATGGTCGAACCATTTCAGTCTTTGTCTGCCAATATAATCCAGACATAGTCTTTGTTTTCCAACTTTCTTGCTAAGGCTGGTATTTGTAACCATGTCCCTTTTAATAATTTATTCTCTTATCAAATTTAATTGCATGCCTCCTCATGTGGGTTCAGGGGCCTCATTGTGAGGAAAACAAGAATAGACCCACTGACTCCTTAACAAGCATGTCGTAAGAGTTGACCAACTGGGCGCTTCCTGTGAAGTTGTTGAAGTCCATCTGCCTGAGAGGCAAAGAACCAGCAATCTGCATACATATAAGTCAAATCTGTAAAAGGGATGTGCACCAACACTCAGGTTCTGGAACAAGTCTAAAGTCTGTATAGTATTTGTTCATGTTTTAGATGATAAATTATGTGAATTTTTTTAATTTTTTTTGGTGGCATGTAAAATAGTTGTGTTTCTAAGGATTTTTCCTGCTTGGAATATCCTAAAAATGAAAAGTACAGGAGCTTGGCTGTCTTTTCTAGGTCACCGAGGTGAAAGGGCTAACCTGAGAATGACTGCAGGAGGCAGCACATACAAATCTTCAAGAGACTCCAGTCATGCAGCCAGCAGTGCCCCTCGCTTCTGGAAACCAGGTACTGATGAATCTGTGTGCTTTTATATTTCCTTCTTTCTGAAAATTTGATTTCTTGTTTCTGATAATTATGTTTCTTTTTTTTCTGATAATTTGATTTCTTGTTTCTGATAATTATGTTTCTTTTTTTCTGATGATTTGATTTCTTGTTTTTGAAAATCATGTTTCTTGTTTCTGATATTTATGTTTCTTGTTTCTGATTATTTGATTTCTTGTTTCTGATAATTATGCTTCTTGTTTCTGATAATTATGTTTCTTATTTCTGATAATTGTATTTCCTGTTCCTGGTAATTATATGTTCTCTGTGTGTGTCGGCATGTGTGTGTGTGTATATGGGGGCATGTGTGTGTGTGTGTGGGGGGGGGGGGGGAGATAGACCCACTGCCTCCCTCAACAAGCATGTTGGTAAAGTTGACTAGAGGAGTTTCCTTCTAAGTCACAGTCATCTGCCTGCGTTTTGAGGAACTAATAGTTTGCATACAAATAAGGTTTTGCTCAGGTTGGGTGTGTTGGGTCAGAAGGTGCAGATATTGCAGCTTAGGGAAAACCACAACACAACATAACAACCGCTCTTGTAAGTGAGAACTAAGAAAGGGAATGGCATTATCTGCAATGGCACACATGCTCATAAAGCAGCAGGTCCTTTAAAAAACGTCACTCGCTTGCCAGACCATCTCTTTTTCTCTAACCAGTTCACCAGCCCTATGTGCTTTCATGACCAGTACATCTTTGATGTCTTGTATGTACCTTCATGGGGTCTGCCTCTGCATCATTTTCCAGAAATAGTACACTCCACCACCGTTCTCTCAAGGCCACCATGATGTTTAACATGACCAGATTACCTCAGCTTTCAAGAGAGGATGCTGTTTATGAGCCAGTTTTTCTTATTTTTGTTTGTTGGTAATGAACAAAAACAAAATACCGCTTTTGTTTTGTTTTACAGGAACACCAGCACCAGGTCTGGCCAACATATCGGAGGAGAGACCAGCAGCAGGGGACAGCACTAGTGTGGTGTATAACCCTTACAGAAATCTGTCTATTGAACAGCAAAGACAGAAGTTGCCAGTGTTTCAGGTACTTGCCTGTTATGGTTGGATTATTATGATCTGGAGAGAGTTAAGTTAAGAGCCAACATCACAGCACTCAAGATGTTCCAATAAGAGCTCTGTCCCCATCTTTAACGGTCAGCAACAGTTCATTTTCTTCTTCTTCTTTTTCTTCTTCTTCTTCCTCCTCCTCCTCCTCCTTCTTCTTCTTCTTAAGTATTCTAAACCCTTGAGATTCATGGCTGTAAATATCACCTGCCGCCATTCATCTTTGTGATTGGCCTTCTGATTCCATGTGACTCCATGTGTTGATAGGTCTGCCTGTATAATATCCCAACACCCCTACCTTCCGGTCTTCTAAGTCTGCTCCATTTAACTCTATGATTAGCTCTCGCTCTCTCGCGCTCTCTCTCTCTCTCTCTCTCCAGTTGGTGACTCCAAGTGTTTGTAGGTGTGTTTGAATATATTACCCCCCCCCCCCCCCCCCGTCTTTTTTGCCTGCCTCATGGTCTACTCTGTCTTATCTTTTTTATGCATGCAGTTTTTGCCTTCCTCTTATTAGCCATTCTCTCTGTATGACCTATGCCTGTGTGTTGGGAAATGAGCAAGCTGGCTGTGCACCACTCGGTAGTGAATTGATGTATGGCAAGTTAGATTTTGTGAGGGTCCTTTGAGAGCGAGTGAACAGTGCCGAGGCGCAGATAGATCATTACGGTCTAAGGAGAATGTCGCTGCGAGGAGTTACCAGGGGATCTGGCCAACGTTCAACACTCAGGGGAAGGGTGAGACAGATATACAATCAGATGGTTACTGGTACCATCGGAATTGGAACTCTTTGCTTGCTGCTGAAGATGGGGACTGAGTACTTATGGGAGTGTCCTGAGTGCTGTGATGTTGATTCTTAATTTAACCGTCTGTATGACCCAACATTGCTGCCTGTTGGCCCTCACGATGCAAGTAATTTTTGGGGATTTACACAGATTATGAATATCATTGTTGCTTCTCATTAGGCAAGAAATATTAACCAATTTTAATTTGAGTTGTTATAGCTGCACATGTTGAAATATCCAAACCTTCTGTCTGCAACACTTTGCAGCACAAATAGAAGTTTAGACATAGCTTATAGCTTCAACACTGTATGGACAAGACCGGTGATGGACAATTACAAGTCTCAGATGCCAGTACACTGACATGGCCTGAGAGTCAAGCCTGGTGAAACCTGACTGTCTTCTTCTTCTTCGATCCTTGTGTCAGAAAACTTATATCAGGAGGCCGGTAGCCTTTATGAAAAATATTGTGCAATCCATATCCTCTCGTGTACCATACAGTTTTGTCTTCAATGTGGTTGGAACAGGCCAGATTGCGTTTCTGTTGTCAGCATACAGTTGACAGTGTTGGAGCACATGCTCAGCATACCTGACTGTGACATCTTTTAGGTCAAGATAGCAGACATAACCAGCTTCTTAAGGGAACAACAAGTAGAGGTCCTTTGGTGTGTCTATTGCTTCAGAGGACGGAGCATAAATGGGGATTCCCAGTGTGCTCTGCAGTCAACTGTGATACAATTTTTTTTAAAAATTAATAAATAAAACAAGCTGTGAGAGAAAGGCTTTTGGGGCTTACACATTGTGATTTCCAACTGCCATGGGTGCTTCTTTGAATAACTTAAAGGGGAAACAAGTAACGGATAGATAAAGAGATAAACAAGTTAATAAGTGGCCTAACCATGTGATCCGTGCTTCTGCTAATTATGTGATATAGCAGACTTTCACTGTTTACATTTATTAGCTTGAAACATAAGGACTCAGTTCTTAGAGATCAGGGGCTGACATGTCAGAATAGAAACCAATAGTTCTTAGTAGGAGAAACTGGGTTGATGAGATTAATGAGCTTTTACATCGACAGAATGACAATAGTCATTGCTGCTCATCAAGCAATGGTTCGCAAACTCTTCCTTGCCATAGTATTTAATGGCAGAAGTGGAAATTGATAATATATAATTATATATATTCTCACAGTATCCAAATCATTGGGGTTTTTTCTTACCTTTCTCAGTACCGTAATCACATACTCTACATGGCAGAGAAATATCAAACCGTTGTTGTTATTGGTGAGACAGGCTGTGGCAAGAGTACACAGATTCCACAGGTATGTTTTTCCTGAATGTCTGTTTTAAATAGATGAAGTGGGTTTGGTTGGCACCTTTCTTTCTTTCTTTCTTTCCAGATGATAGTGTTCTTTTATTGGCTGTGGGGACGCATGGGAAACACAGCCCATGACAATGGGGAGTGTGACTAGCACCAACTACTGTTATAAGGTAGCTCAGTCATATCTGACCAAGTTAACAGAGAACTGGTAGTACCTGCTATGTTATAAGGTAGCTCAGTCATATCTGACCAAGTTAACAGAGAACTGGTAGTACCTGCTATGTTATAAGGTAGCTCATTCATATCTGACCAAGTTAACAGAGAACTGGTAGTACCTGCTATGTTATAAGGTAGCTCAGTCATATCTGACCAAGTTAACAGAACAGGTAGTACCTGCTATGTTATAAGGTAGCTCATTCATATCTGACCAAGTTAACAGAGAACTGGTAGTACCTGCTATGTTATAAGATAGCTCAGTCACATCTGACCAAGTTAACAGAGAACTGGTAGTACCTGCTATGTTATAAGGTAGCTCAGTCATATCTGACCAAGTTAACAGAGAACTGGTAGTACCTGCTATGTTATAAGGTAGCTCAGTCATATCTGACCAAGTTAACAGAGAACTGGTAGTACCTGCTATGTTATAAGGTAGCTCATTCATATCTGACCAAGTTAACAGAGAACTGGTAGTACCTGCTATGTTATAAGGTAGCTCAGTTCATAAATGACTGCTAAGTTAACAGATAAACTGACCAAGTTAACTGGTAGTACCTGCTATGTTATAAGGTAGCTCAGTCATATCTGACCAAGTTAACAGAGAACAGGTAGTACCTGCTATGTTATAAGGTAAGTCAGTCATATCTGACCGAGTTAACAGAGAACTGGTAGTACCTGCTATGTTATAAGGTAGCTCAGTCATATCTGACCGAGTTAACAGAGAACTGGTAGTACCTGCTATGTTATAAGGTTAGTCAGTCATATCTGACCGAGTTAACAGAGAACTGGTAGTACCTGCTATGTTATAAGATAGCTCAGTCACATCTGACCAAGTTAACAGAGAACTGGTAGTACCTGCTATGTTATAAGGTAGCTCAGTCATATCTGACCAAGTTAACAGAGAACTGGTAGTACCTGCTATGTTATAAGGTAAGTCAGTCATATCTGACCGAGTTAACAGAGAACTGGTAGTACCTGCTATGTTATAAGGTAAGTCAGTCATATCTGAACAAGTTAACAGAGAACTGGTAGTACCTGCTATGTTATAAGATAGCTCAGTCATAAATGACCAAGTTAACAGAGAACAGGTAGTACCTGCTATGTTATAAGATAGCTCAGTCATAAATGACCAAGTTAACAGAGAACAGGTAGTACCTGCTATGTTATAAGATAGCTCAGTCATAAATGACCAAGTTAACAGAGAACAGGTAGTACCTGCTATGTTATAAGGTAGCTCAGTCATAAATGACTAAGTTAGCAGAGAACAGGTAGTACCTGCTATGTTATAAGGTAGCTCAGTCATATCTGACTAAGTTAACAGAGAACTGGTAGTACCTGCTATGTTATAAGGTAGCTCAGTCATAAATGACCAAGTTAACAGAGAACAGGTAGTACCTGCTACTGTTTTAAGGTAGCTCAGTCATAAATGACCAAGTTAACAGAGAACTGGTAGTACCTGCTATGTTCTAAGGTAGCTCAGTCATATCTGAACAAGTTAACAGAGAACAGGAAGTACCAACTACTGTTATATAGTAGCTCAGTCATAAATGACCAAGTTAACAGAGAATAGGTAGTACCTGCTATGTAATAAGGTAGCTCAGTCATAAATGACCAAGTTAACAGAACAGGTAGTACCTGCTATGTTCTAAGGTAGCTCAGTCATAAATGACCAAGTTAACAGAGAACAGGTAGTACCTGCTATGTTATAAGGTAGCTCAGTCATATCTGACCAAGTTAACAGAGAACAGGTAGTACCTGCTATGTTATAAGGTAGCTCAGTCATATCTGACCCTGTTAACAGAGAACTGGTAGTACCTGCTATGTTATAAGGTAGCTCAGTCATAAATGACCAAGTTAACAGAGAACTGGTAGTACCAAATACTGTTATATGGAGCTCAGTCACATCTGACCAAGTTAAAAGAGAACAGAAAGTAGCAACTACTGTTATATATTAGCTCACTCACATATTAACAGAAACATAATTGCCCTCTTTTATAATGAAAGTACATTTAGCATTGCAGACGTCATGGCTTACTGATGATGTCCTTTTCTTGTGTGTAGTATCTTCTAGAAGCTGGCTGGGCCACAGAAGGTTATGTCATTGGAGTGACCCAGCCCAGACGAGTTGCTTGTGTGACAGTAAGTTTCCTGGATATTTGTTATCATTATCGTCTTCATTACAATGTAGCATGTCCTTTGCAGGAAACCACTACCAACACAGTAATATTGAATTAGGAATCAACATCACAGCACTCAGGACACCCCTATAAGTGCTCGGTTCCCCCATCTTCAGCAGCAAGCGAAGAGTTAAAATTAACTGATTGTATATCCATCTCGCCTTACCCCTGAGTGTCAAGTGTCGGCCAGATCCCCTTGTAACTCGTTGCAGTGCCATTCTCCTGAGACCATAATGATCTATCTGTTCCTCGGCACTGTTCACTCGCTCCCAAAGGGCCCTCACAACATCCAGTTTGTCATACATTAGTTAACCACCAAGTGGTGCCAAAACCGGCCAGTCTATCTGTCTGCTCATTTCCCACCACACCTGCATACTTGGAGAATGCCATCACAGGCTGTCAGAAAAGCTCCTTATCGCTTACCAGTTCTTCTTTTTTCTTCTTCCTCCTCCTCCTCTTTTTCTTCTTTTTCTTCACTTTTAACAGCTTTAATCTCCAGAAGAAAGTTCTGGCTGTTCGTTCACTTCTAGGTTTTGGTCTTATTCCAGAACTTGAGTTTTGCATGCACATCCGTTTTATAGATCTGGCTTTTTTTTTTTGTAAGCAGACTGTTGGTTCCTTGCCTTGCACTCTGCCTTCAAAAGAAAAGCCCCTGATTAGGCGGCTTTTACGACAGGCTTGTTAAGGGTGCAGTGTGTCTGTTCTTCTACCCCCCCCCCTTCCACCACCCCCCACACACACACACACGTTTCAGTCTTAAAATGTCTTTCTGGATTGTGCTATCTTTTAGCTGATCGGTATGCTGACTGGTTGCTAAGGGTTTTTCATCATAGAACATCGATGACATTCTGAATGCTCACTGTTGGTAAAGAGTAGACGATATCCAGTTATATTCTTTATTGAACTTTCACATGTGATCTGGTCCTGTCAGTGTCTGCTTTAGGCTAGCAGGTCCAACAAGAGATGATGACATTTATCAAGTACAGAATCCACATTTACTCCCATCCACACTTGTTAACTTTCCATCCTGTTTCATTACACACGCGATGTACACAATGGTTGATCCAGCATTTCTGATCATGGCTGTAAGATTCCTTGGCCAGTTGGAACTTGTCGGCTACCAGCTCTGGTTAGGCTGTTGTCAGATTGTCTTCTGGCTGTCCTCTCATGGAATAGAATCTTCTTCATGTCTTCAACTATCCAATGTCACATTCACTCGTCTGTCAGATAAGACCTTTCAAGCCAGCTGCCAAACACAAACTAATTGATTGGACCTTAATCTAATCTTATAACCCATGTTCTGGCTTTCATGTGCTGGTCTGAGCCCTGTTCGTATGTCTCGTGTTTCTGCGTGGGTCATTCTGGATTGCACCAGTGGTGTGTATGCGATACATCCTTGGTTTGCCGACTGTTGCAGGTAGGCACAGGGTAGCTGCAGACACAGATCACCCTTTGCACGAAGCTCTGGGTGTAGTTAAGGGTCAGCGGCTGATAAGAGGGAGGTCATGGTTGGCTCAGGCAGAAGACACAGTCAGACAGGTTTGCTTCCTTGAGAACATTAGGCGAGGAGAGGAGTGGGTCAAATTGCCACCTGAACAGTCAAACTTGTGTAGGGTCATAATCACACAATGAGCCGGGAATGCAGAGACTGGCCAGCAGGTGCCACGGAGGTGGAAATTCAGCAATTAATTCAAGATAATGCTCACTCAGAGGATTTGATCATATACACAGACGGTTCAGTGTCAAGAGGCAAAAGAAGTGCTTGAGGTTTCTTAGCAAAAGTTAGTGGTCGACGTTTGGTGCAGGAGAGCCTAGCATATGATACCACAACATCCAGCTTAAGAATGGAAGTGGAGTTGGTCACTGCACACACACGCACATTGATTTTGTAACTGACTAAGAAAGCATGCTGGGGAAGATCAGGACAAGCATGCTTCATGCAGAGTGGCATGCCTCGCTGTGAAAGACACAGGTGAGGAGTATTGTCTGGATTTTTTTCACAGGAGAATCCGGGTGTGTTAGGAAATGAACAGGCGGACAGACTGGCTGGCTCTGCACAACTTGGTGGAATACTGATGCATGATAAGGCAGACGTGGTTAGTGCCTTGTGGGAGAGCGTTTACAGTTCAGAGGAGCAGATGGATCACTACAGTCTGGTGAGATTGATGCAGGGGGGAGTGATGAGAGTTTCTGGCAGATGCTCGAGGCTCAGAGGAAAGGCAAGATGGACGTTTAATCAGAATGCTACTGGCACAATCAGTATCGGAACTCTTTGCTGGCTGCTGAAGATGGGGATGGAGCTCTTATGGGAATGCCCTGCGTGATGTGATGTTGGATCTTGAATCAAATCAAATCAAATCAATGTTTCTATGAGTATTCACATTCTCATGTGTTTCTCTCTTATCTCATGTTTACTTCTACATTGTTGTTTAGAGAATCCCTGTGGGAGTATTTTCTTAAAGCTTCAAAACATTCTAAATCTCTCTGTGATCAGGTAAATATTTTGAGAAATTCTGATTTTAAATTTTTTTTTTTTATTATTTTGATGTGGATTTTTTAATACATATATTTTTTTTAATTTGTTTAATTCAGGTGGCAACTCGAGTTGCGGAAGAAAGAGGAGCAATTCTTGGAGATGAAGTTGGCTATTTGATTCGCTTTGATGACTGCTGTAATGACGTTAAAACAAAAGTCAAGGTATGGGTGTATGTAGAAAATTTTTTTTTTTTTTTTCTTATTATTCTTCTATCCTCATCCTCCTCCTCTCCTCCTTTCTTCTTCCTCCTCCTCTGCTTCTACTGCTGCTGCTGCTTCTTTTTTATTCACCCCAAATGAGCGTAGGCCTTCACTTTATTCATACCAAGTTGTCTGATCTTTTGCCATATCCCAGAGCTCTTCTCCATATTTATCGCCTGCCTCTAAATCTCATCTTCTTCTACTTTAAGGTTTTCTTAATTTCTTACTGAGTCTCTCATGTTCTTTTTCTTTATCTTCTTAGCATTCACCGGCTGTAAACTCCTGCAGAAAGTTCTGTTTGTTTGTCCACTTCTGAACTTTAGTCTTGATCCAGAACTTATGCATCCGTGTTACAGATCTGACTTATGTAAGTGTTATCATCATCATCATGTAGCATGTCCTTTGCAGAACGTCGCTCTCATCAAGGTCTGCCTGAAAGAAAGTCGGTCTTTCGCCAACTCTCTTCATGTACTTTCATACTCAAGGAGTCACTTATATCCTGTGGCCATTGCATGTTGGTCGGCCCCTACCCCTCCTTCCTGGTACCACGCCTTCTGCTAAAAAAAAAAAATTGTCATGGCGCTTGATATGACCAAAATATTTCAGCTTCCGAGACAGGATGTTGTTTATTAGCCAATCTTCCTTGATGTTCAGATGTAAATGTAGACTGTTGGTTTCTTTGCCTGACAGGCAGGCAGATACACTGTGAGTTGGATGGAAAACTCATTATCAGATTACTTATACATGTTTGTTAGGGAGGCCTGAGTCTCCCCCCCCCCCCTCCCAGTGGACTGTGGAACCCACAGCTTTCCGCTGGCTGTAGATTGAGCTGTATGCACATGTTGTAATTGTAACCGACTCACAGAGCATGTTGAGAAGGGTGGAGACCGAAATGATCCCTGAAGAGTGGCAAGCATAACTTCAGAGGTCTCGGGCAGCTAGCATCCTTTGGATATTTTCTCCAGGATATGCAACAGTAATAGGAAATAAAACAGTCAGAGATAGACTGGCTGGTTCTGCACAACTTGATGGTGAATTGATGCAGGGCAAGCTAGATGTTGCAAGGGTCCCTCTGGGGGGCAAGCGAACAATGTGGAAGCGCAGATGGATCATCATGGTCTGAGGGTAATGGTGCTGCGAGGAATGACCAGAGGATCTGGCCGACGATCAGTGCTCAAGGAAAAGGAGAGATGGATATACAATCATACTGTAACTGGTACCATCAGAATTGCAACTCTGCACTTACTGCTGAAAATGGGGGACGGAGCGCTTATGGGAGTGTCCCGAGTGCTGTGATATTTATTCCTAATTATAAAACGAAATAAATCAGAAGGTGTTTGGAAAAAAAAGGGGGGGGGGGGGAGAAAAATTAAAAAGGTTAAAAAGTTAACAAATTAAATGAAGCTGTGTTGAATATTGATCCCTCCAGGATAGAGAATGCTAGAATTATGATTGAAATGATTTTCTAGGGAATTTTGGCTGGTTTGATCACCAGAGCATGATTTAATAGCAGTAACTGAGATATTGCTTTCACCTTGATGGTCAGAACTGTTGAAATGGGGGAGACAGTTTTAAGAGTCTTATTACGAATATCCACAAGATGTTTATGAAAGTAATCTGTTGGCTTACCCAGTATATGCCTGAAACATTAACAGGGATCCTTTATTGTTTCGTCACTTAACCCTGTTGCTCTGAGAAAGCCGTTAAAGTAAAAACAAAAAAACTTATTAAAATAATTTTTAAGTGATTAGGCATTAGTAGTTAAATACTTTGCGCTTGCCTGTCTGCTAAGTGGTCTAGAGGTTTGAAAACCTGGATGTTTTTAAAACCTCCTAAGATCAAAATTTGTCTTTTGATTCTTCTTTTTCTCTTGTTTCTTAGAGTAGTTTCAGAGAGTTATAAGAATGTATGTTTTTAAATTGAAGTTTAAAGGGCGATTCAAATATCCTAAGGGGTGCAAGGGAGCTGTCGTGGCTCAGCAGCTAAATGCTCGCCTGCAGACCAATAGGTCAAGGGTTCGGACCCTGAACATTTTCAGAAATTACCCTGGCTGCCAATTTGACCCAGCCTTGAATGGGTACCAGATGGAGCCCTGGGAAGTAAAGGCAGCCGGTGTGATGCTGACCCAGTGCCGATTGGTCTATAAAATATAGGTTATGTCGGATACATCCCAAGGCGTGGAAAAAGGTCATTAACTTCATGGGGCAAAACTGTTAAAGCTTCATTCCTCAATCACAGTATGTGTACCAGGGAGTAATCTTTTACTTGTTTTTGTTTCACTCTCTGAAGTTCATGACAGATGGGATGCTGATCAGAGAAATAATGCAGGATCCCTTGCTAAGAAAATATAGGTAAGATTATGTTTACACATGAGAGAGCACCACATACTTAGTTTGTGACCCTTTAAAAATAAATTGTGTTCATTTGTAATTATTCTTTTTTTTTCCATAGTGTAGGATTTTTTAAACAAACTGTTCTCATTATTGTCTTGATTAAAGGAACACACTAGAGAGAACTGAATGCCCAGTTTGTGTTGCTTTTCAAAAATGTTTTTTTGCTTTTTTGTTTGTTCAATTGTTTACAAGAGGCATGTGTTTACAAGACGCCTAGGCAATGCCGTTGGTCGTGGTTGCACTTGCACAAGCACTTAGGAGGTCAGAATATTAATATATTTACAAAAACCAGTATTCAGGGCGATTTTCATATGAACCAAAAGGCTTTATTTTAAACAGCCATGTTGATGTCAAATCTTCCCCTGTAGCCTCAGTGATAGAGGTCAAAGGTCACGGTATGAATCACATGATAAATATCTGTAAGCCCTGGGAAATGTATTCTGTTTAATTCTTCACTCTGTTCATGTTTATTGATTACTCCATTTATGTATGTTTATTTTTTGAGGAGGAAATTTTAATATAGATAAATTAATTTTAAAAAAAAAAATGTTATTATCTGAATGGCTTGTTTAAAATGGTTTCTGTTTTTAAAGATGTTTTTGAATGTTCCTAGTGCAAAGGGGTTAATAGAGCACATGAAAGTGTTCACACTTCTAGTTATACATCTGAGGAGACGCAGTGAAATATGTCAGGCAAGAAATTGTACACTATTGTGTGTACTCTCATTATTTTAATTTAAAGCTGGAAGGGGCTGTGTGGTCTCTAGGCATGGTGTCCGCCTCGAGTGCTAGAGGTTTCGGGTTCAATCCCTGGTAAGGGCTGGGATTTTTTCACGTGGACTTGGACTTCTAGTAGTTCCCCCTTTTCTCTGGGTAGTGAAATCAGAGGCCTGTGTGCATTGCTGCACACATAAAAAAATCCCTTTTCAGTTGGAAATCAAATTAAGTAGTCTAACGGCACTGCCTGGACAAAATTTGAGGTTAAAAATCTACTCAAAGTATTTTAGGATCCTTGCCGGTGCTACAGAGCCTGTGCACTGTGCTGAGCTTCTTCGGACTCAGACTTGAGTTAGAAGAAGAATGTAGCACTTATGGGTTACTACTAGTGCGCCATGATGTTGATCTGTTGTTCAAACCTCAAACCTCATTTACAACCAAAAAGCATTGCTTCAATAAACATGAATTTTTTCAGTGTCCTACTGATAGATGAAGCACACGAGAGAGCACTGAACACCGACATCATTTTGGGGTTGCTGAGAAAGGTAAATTACTGGGGTAAATTACTGGTGCCCGCTGCTTCCTGTTTTTAACTTTGAGAAGACTCTTTCACCTTTTTCTTCTTCTTCTTTGCATTCACTGGCTGCAAACTCTGGCAGAAAGTTTTGGTTGTTTGTCCACTTCTGGACTTTTGTCTTATTCCAGAACATCAGTTTTGCCTGCACATGAATTTTACAGACCTGGCTTATGAGTATGCAGACTGTTGGTTCCTTGCTTCTCAGGCAGAGGCACTTTGACCTTTGAAGGACACAGCGGTAATTAGTCACTTTTCACAAAATGCTGGTGAGCGGGGGAGGGGGGGGGGGGGGGGGGGAGGGGGGGTGGTGTTGTAGGTCTATTCTCTTCTGCTCCAAGATGTTGCCTCGGAACCCACACAGAAGACAGTCTTTCAGTGTGTCGTATATTGGAGCTTTATTTTTTTTAAACTTTTTTCAGTTTAAGCAACTCCCTGTTCATGATTGGTCTGTAAAAGTATGATGCTAGTACAATATACCACATATTTGTCCAGATGGGGATCGTCGCTGGAGCTACAGAGGTCATGCTGTGTATGACGCTCTCGGCAGGCAGCTAGCTGTTCTGTGGAGAGAGACTGAGCCATATGGGATAAAACCCAGTGCAAAGAAATCGATCCTCTCACCTTTAACCTTTTCCTTTTTGTCAAGATGTGGAAATAATTCTTTTTTTGTGCGTGTGTGTGTGTTAGATTCAATGGCTTAACATTCTTACTCTCCTTTTTTTTTTTTTTAATTGCCTCCATGAACTAAGTGTTGAATAAAGAATCAACATCACAGCACTTGTGACACCCCCATAAGTGCTCCATCCCCATCTTCAGCAGCAAGTTCCAGTTCCTAAGGTACCTGTAACTATCTGATTTTATTTTTGTCTCGCTTTTCCCTTGAACTGAACTTAATGACCTGTCAGAGCCAACAGCTTTCAGAGTGTGAGGCATACAGCTTTACCACGGAAACTCCCTATATTTGACATGAGAGCAAGAAAGTACACATGTGAGGCATACAGTTTTACCGTGGAGACTCCCCATATTTGACATGAGAGCAAGAAAGTGCTCATGTGAGGCATACAGCTTTACCGTGGAGACTCCTTATATTTGACGTGAGAGCAAGAAAGTACACATGTGAGGCATACAGCTTTACCGTGGAGACTTCCTATATTTGATGTGAGAGCAAGAAAGTACACATGTGAGGCATGCAGCTTTACCATGGAGACTTCCTATATTTGATGTGAGAGCAAGAAAGTACACATGTGAGGCATACAGCTTTACCATGGAGACTTCCTATATTTGACGTGAGAGCAAGAAAGTACACATGTGAGGCATACAGCTTTACCGTGGAGACTCCCTATATTTGATGTGAGAGCAAGAAAGTACACATGTGAGGCATACAGCTTTACCACAGAAACTCCCTATATTTGACGTGAGAGCAAGAAAGTACACATGTGAGGCATACAGCTTTACCACAGAAACTCCCTATATTTGACGTGAGAGCAAGAAAGTACACATGTGAGGCATACAGCTTTACCACAGAAACTTCCTATATTTGACGTGAGAGCAAGAAAGTACACATGTGAGGCATACAGCTTTACCACAGAAACTCCCTATATTTGATGTGAGAGCAAGAAAGTACACATGTGAGGCATACAGCTTTACCATGGAGACTTCCTATATTTGACGTGAGAGCAAGAAAGTGCACATGTGAGGCATACAGCTTTACCGTGGAGACTTCCTATATTTGACGTGAGAGCAAGAAAGTACACATGTGAGGCATACAATTTACCACAGAAACTCCCTATATTTGAGGTGAGAGCAAGAAAGTACACATGTGAGGCATACAGCTTTACCATGGAGACTTCCTATATTTGATGTGAGAGCAAGAAAGTACACATGTGAGGCATACAGCTTTACCACAGAGACTCCTTATATTTGAGGTGAGAGCAAGAAAGTACACATGTGAGGCATACAGCTTTACCATGGAGACTTGCTATATTTGATGTGAGAGCAAGAAAGTACCGAAGGAGAAGCTAGTTTGATGACATTAGAGATATGATATATCCACACTGACTGACAAATACAACTTCAACTGTTCAAGTACTGCACCATAAACTTCCTCTCCATAACACTTATTAGCAAAAGGGGAATTTTTTTATAATGATTGTTTTCTTTTTAACTGATTTAGTTTGTCAGTGCAACACTCACAGTACAGTTAACATTTGTATACACATTTTTTTTTTATTGTCTAATGGAAATTTTTTTTTATTCCAGAGAAATTTGACTAAAAAGCTCAACAAAATTGGGAAGCAGAAAAACCTGCACAAAATAACACAACATAACGTTCGGCCGGGCAGCCTTTTTCAAACATAAGTGAACATAATTGAAAAATGCTGCCCGGCCGAAATGTTACATTGTGTTGTTTTGTGCAGGTTTTTCTGCTTCCCCATTTTGTTGAGCTTTTTAGTCAAATTTCTCTGGAATTCCTTGTATTAGATTGACTGTAGTCACCCCCATATTTTCACCATTTTTGGAATATTTTTGTCATTTCGCCTCTGATAGTTTTATTACAATATTTTATTACCACCTGGAAGTTGTTTTGTCATTTCAGATCTGAAAGTTTTATTACAAATATTTTACCATCTGATGGAAATTGTTTTGTCATTTAAACTTTGATAGTTTTATTATCAGATGAAATTGTTTTGTCATTTCAGATCCAAAAGAAGAGAAAAGACCTCACTTTAATTATTGCGTCTGCAACTTTGAATGCCGAGGTGAGCTTCAATGTTTGTTTTCCTTGTCATTTGTAAGTGTTGGACCTGCTAGAGATTTTGAGGAGTTTTACCTCAGTTTTGTAACCCCCCCTCCCCCCCCCCCCCCCCCCCCCCGCCCCCCCCCCCCCCCCCCCCCCCCCCCCCCCCCCCCCCCCCCCCCCCCCCCCCCCCCCCCCCCCCCCCCCCCCCCCCCCCCCCCCGCCCCCCCTTTCCTATCCAATATCAGCCAGACTGCAGTCACCCCTAATTTGGAAAAGAAGAAAAAAGCATATGCATTGTCAATCATGGGTTTCAGCATATATACAGGGTTTAAAATAGACGAGTGAGGCATGAGTGGATACCAAGCAACAGCACACCAACATTACAGGGGATCATGTGTATATACTGTCCATGATATGTAGGAGTGCAAGGGGACGAAAGAGTGGATTTTCTGGCTACTAAAGCGATAGCTACAGGAATACTCATACTGAACAAGGGAGACCATTTATGAACGAATGCTAATAGAAGACACGGGTTTAGAGGATATAACATGTGTAAGAATGTGTTAATGAGTTAGTATATAAACCTTAAAACATTTTCTGCAGTCTTCTATGGGTATACCCTGTGTGCTTTGATGTCGACTTATACATCCGTAAGCCAGTAAAACATATACTTTTTCCCCCTAGGAAATGAGAGATTTCTTCAATACAAATGAGACAGATGACCCAGAGTGAGTAATTTGTACCCTGTTTATGTGTGATCATGTGTGAATGTGTTTGTGTGGGTGAGCATGAATGAGTGCGCTTACGTATTTGAGTGTATGTTTATGCTGAGATGCTTGCTGTCCTTTGATGTTGTGTTTGTGAAGTCTCAGGTTATCACCTCTACTCCTCCTGATCTTCTTCTTCTTCTCCTCCTCCTTCTCCTTCTCCTCCTGCTTCTCCTCCTCCTCCTGCTTCTTCTTCTTCTTCTTCTTCTTCTTCTTCTTCTTCTTCTTCTTCTTCTTCTTCTTCTTCTTCTTCTTCTACTTCTTTTTTCTTCTTCTTTTTCTTCTTCTTCTTCATCATCATCGACAGCAACTATCTTCACAATAAATAAACTAACCATTTTCACAGTGAATAAACTAACTTGTTTTCACATCGAATAAACTAACCATCTACACAATGAATATACTAACCGTCTTCACAACACATAAACTGTTAATTTTCACAACAAATAAGCTAACCATCTTCGCAACAACAAAAGTATTCATTTTCACAACAAATAGGCTAACCATCTTCACAACAAATAAACTAGCCGTTTTCACAATGAATAAACTAACCGTCTTCACATAGAATAAACTAACCATCTTCACAATGAATAAACTAACTGTCTTCACAACAAATATACTATTCATTTTCACAACAAATAAGCTAACCATCTTCAAAACAAATATACTATTTATTTTCACAACAAATAAGCTAACCATCTTCAAAACAAATATACTATTTATTTTCACAACAAATAAGCTAACTATCTTTACAACAAATAAACTAACACCTGAACTAATTCAGTTTGTTGGTTGTGTTCTATAGGAAAGATACGGCAGCTATACTGACAATAGAGGGCAGAGAGTATCCGGTGGACATTCACTATACACTTGAGTAAGTTTCAGTCATTGACTGCTCCCTTTCCAGCTTCAGAATATATTTTTGACAGCAGTCTACTCTGCTTCTTCTTCACCTTCACCGGCTAAAAACACTGGCAGAAAATTCTGGTTGTTCATCCACAACTGGACTTTAGTCTCATTATAGAACTTGATTGTTGCGTGCACATCCGTTTTAAACATCCGGCTTATTTATATGCACACTGTTGGTTCCTTGCCTCTCGAGCAGATGCACTATGACTTTGGCGGCCCCAATAAGTCGACTTTCACGGCATGATTGGGGAGGCAGTGGGTCTGTTCTTGTTTTCCCCCACAGTGGTGCCCGCCTTTACTTCCCACAACTTTCACCCGGTACCCATTTAAGACTAGTCGACCTGCAAGCCTAGGTAAATTTTTTTTTTTTAATTCTGGCACCGTTCACATTTAAACCTATGACCTTTAGATCTATACATGAGCATCTAGCCACTACACCACGGTGGCCCCCTTACTTACCCTTTCAATACATCTAGTTCCCAGTATGGGTTCCAGGGCCCTGTTCTAGGGAAAACAAGAATAGACCCACTGCCTACCTAAAAAACATGTTGTAAGTAAGAGTCGACTAACTGGGAGCTTCCTTCAAAATCGGAGTGCAACTGCCTGAGAGGCAAGGAACCAGCAGTCTGCATACAAATGAGTCGGATCTGTAAAACGGATGCACACAAAACACTCAGGTTCTGGAGCAGGAATGCAGTTCAGAAGTGGATGAACAACCAGAACTTTCTGCCAGAGTTTACAGCTGGTGAACGCGAAGAAGAAGAAGAAGAATACATTTACTCACAAGATTAATGTTTGTCCATTTTTGTCTTTCTTCTTCTTCTTCTTTCTTCTTCTTCTTCTTGTTTTACTTCTTCTTCTTCTTCAGCATTCCGAGCCCTTGAGGTTCATTGCCGCAGATTTTACCCGCCTCCACTCATCTCTCTGGTTGCCCTTCTCTTTCCGGTTGGTAACACCAAGTGTTTGCAGGTCTGTCTGGATATTATCTCTCCATCGTCTTCTTACTCTGCCTCGTGGTCTATGACCATTCATCTACCTTGTGTATACAGTTTTTACCTCTCTGTCATCTGGCATTCACTCAGTATGCCATTTATGTGTTGGCCTGTATATTAGTAGCTGCAAACACTCGAGACTGATAACATGATTTTAAAATAAACATATATACAAACTATATATCATTTTTTTTTATTCAGTCCAGTTCCTAATTATATCCGAGCATCCGTGGACACAGTGATGAAGATCCACTTCAATGAGAGACCAGGAGATGTCATCGTGTTTCTTACTGGCATGGTAATATTATCATCATCATCATCACCATCATCATCATCATGTGGCAGGTCCTTTGCAGAATATCACTCCCATCACAACCCGCATGAAAGTCTCCAGTCCTTTGTCAGTCTCCCCTGCCTCATGTATTTTCATGCCAAAAATGTATTTTTGTACCATAGGTGTGGTTTCATGCCAAAGGTGTCTTTTCATGCTAAAGGTATATTTTCATGCTAAAGGTATATTTGCGTGCCAAAGGTATATTGTCATGGTAAAGGTTAATTTTCACATTAAATATATATTTTCCTGCCAAAGGTTTATTTTCTTACTGCAGGTATTATTTTCATTCCAGATATGTATTTTTATTTTAAAAAAATATATATTTTCATTCCAGATATATATTTTTATAAAAAATATATATATTTTCATGATAAAGGTGTATTTTCATACCAAAGGTTTATTGTCATTCCAAAGGTATAATATATTTTATGCTAGATGTGTCTTTTTTTCTGCCAAAAGTATCTTTTCATACCAAAAGTATCTTTTCATGCCAGAGATGTGTTACTTTCATATCAAAAGAATTTTTTCATGCCAAAGGTGTGCTTTTTATGCCAAAGATGTGTTTTCATACCAGAATTGTACTTTTCATGTCAAAGGTGTCTTTTCATGCCAAAGGTGTATGTCACAGACTTCTGGGTGACCTTGATGGTCCGTGGCTCGTAACTGGGCCTATGACAGACAAACTAACCTTTTACACTCACTGAACCCAAACGCACACAGGGCACACACGACAATCTTTATTGCAAGTGCAGGTAATACAACAGACAGTTGGCTTCGCGCTGTGCGGCCACCTTTTGCCTGGACCCTCTGGCCGAACAAGCTTTACAATCGCCTCGCTCTCCAGTCCGTTCCACAGGCAATCTCTGGTGCACAAACCACAGCTAGGCGGGATACATTCTTTCCTATCGACACACTGACCTACCAAGATGTCACAACCTCTGTCTAGTGCAGGGTCCGCATGACAAGGTTAGACATTCGCTCACAGAAAGTGTACCTAACCGATTGAACTGGTCAGAAATAACTGGACACTACTTACTTATTGTGAGACAACACAATACCCTATACCAGTTAAATACACAGCACAAAAAACTATCCTATTCTAAAAGAACACTGTAAATAATCTATGCAGTCACTAAAGAAATATCTAAGAATTTTTCATCTGCATTGAAGCACGCTTTGATTTGGGCTGGTAGTGATGCACCCATGATTCACCCCCAGTAATAATCCTGTTCAGCATGTCTTCTCCTTTATCTGCGTATCAACAGAGATTCTACAAGGTCAAGCCTAATCGGTTTATCTTGTGTTCATCTGTTAATTGTCTGGGTTCCCACCTTGAGCACACTTTGTTAAATTTCAATCGTTCATGCATCATGTTGCATGCTGAAACGTGTTAGCACCCTATTGCAGCTGCTACAGAGTCAACCGTTACTCGCCTGTCATCTCTAATCATCTCTTTCACCCACTGCATGGCTGCATCTGTTGCAATCTCACCACGACGACCAGATTGGACTTAACCAACAATTTTAGAACAAACGAACGAACGAACTTTATTTTCAAAGGGTTACAAGGGTTTTTTACCCAGCTGAACACCGCTTTACGGAACAAACATTTGCATAAACAGGAAGCATTTCCTTATGAATATCCTTTGCAGGCAGCCCCTTTGCCCACCAAAAATGCAAAACAGCATGGTCTTCTTTGAGGGTACACTCCATAAGTACAGTCACCATTTTGTTTCTGTGTTGCAAATGCGCATGCAACACCTGGTGCTACATAACAAATGGAGACATAAAGTTCCATGTCACAATTGGAACCAAAGGCTCTTTTTTTTTTAAAGCTGGTTGAACAAGCCAACATTCCTCCCCCCCCCCCCCCCCCCCCCCCCCCCCCCCCCCCCCCCCAACCCCCCCCCCCCCCCCCACCCCCCCCCCCCACCCCCCCCCCCCCCCCCGCCACCCCCCCCCCCCCCCCCCCCCCCCCCCCCCCCCCCCCCCCCCCCCCCCCCCCCCCCCCCCCCCCCCCCCCCCCCACACCCCCCCCCGCCCCCCCCCCCCCCCCCCCCCCCCCCCCCCCTCCCCAATCAAAACTGAGTGAAGTGATAAACAATATGTAAACGTCCTAGTTGTGTGTGTATACATTATAGTTTCTTGTTTTATATTTTCAGAATGAGGTGGACGATGTTGTCTCACAGCTGATGTAAGTAGTTATTTTTGTCTTGATCATGTATTTTGTGTCTTCATCACAACATATGTTCAGTTGATATACCAAATTTTCCCAAGTATAAGACATTCAATTATATAAGATGTACCTTGATTTTGGAACCAAAAGTTTAGAGGAAAAAAAAATAATATAATTAGCATCCACACAATACTGAAGAATTGTCAGCTGCACTGGGCTGGCCACCTAAACCGCATGCCAGATTATTGCCTCCCAAAGAGAGATTTTATATTGAGCTCCAACGAGGGAAGAGGTCCCAGAGAGGATAGAAAAAGCGCTATAAGGACACTCTAAAGACTGCTCTCAATTCTTTTGGCATCAACACAGCGACGTGAGAGGCTGCTGCACAAGAACATTGGATGACATACCTCTCTCAGGCATGGTGCATCACCCTACCAGGCAGCAGAGGTTGCACAGGCAGAGAAATGGAGGCAGACTAGAAAGAATCGTACTGCTAATCCCACACTTACTGCGGTTTCCATCTGTTGTCCGCACTGCTCATGAACTCTTCTTCTTCTTTTTCTTCAAGTTCACCAGCTGTAAACTCTGGCAGAAAGTTCTGGTTGTTCATCCACTTCTGGACTGCAGTCGTGATCCAGAATCTGTGTGTTGCATGTGCATCCGTTTTACAAATGACTCATGTGTATGCAGACTGCTGGTTCCTTGCCTCTCAGGCAGATGCAATCTGACTTCAAAGGAAGCTCCCAATTAGTCGACTTTTACGACATGCTTTTGGGTAGGCAGTGGGTCTATTCTTGTTTTCCCCACAATAGGGCCCAGGAACCCACACATGGAGCTCAAGTACTTTCCTGCCTCATTTTGGACTAATCAGCCACCTTTGTACTCATAATGATTGGTCATTACTACTTTGGATGAAAGTGGTCTTCATCACTCGTGATGGACAAACAACATAGAACTCATGTTTAATTCATCATAGAATCCAGTAAACTCCTCATTAATATCAACACTTGTTGATATTGAAATGCCACACTTCATGGATGATTTGACAACAATCTTGATCTTCACATTATCCCAGGATCTTTTCACCCAGGTACAAACTTGAGAAAGAGAAAACAAGTACATCGTGACAGTAGGGAAGTTGGAGGGAAGGAGAGGCAGAGAGAGAAAAGATGCTGAATAGTTTGACATTATGGCATGCAAGATCATCTTTGTCAGAGCTGACTAAAAGTACACGAGACAGACGTTAGTGGATAGGCATGACTACCAACGCCGCAAGAATGAACTTCAAGAAGAAGAAGAACAAACTTCTACAATTGGTTTCTTCACACTACCTGCTGATGTCATGCTGTTCCCGGAAAACCTCATCCATTGGTTTCATTGGCCTCTCATGGCAGCTTTGTTAATGCTGACACTTAGTAGTTCAATCGTAGTGGATACAGCAATTCTAATGTAACAAGTGCCAAACAGTTATGCCGTTAAGCATTGTGGGGAGGAAACAGTTTGTGATCGATTGTCTGATGGGCAACAATGGCTACTGTCATTTCATGTCAATGTAAAAGCTCTTTAATGTCATCAATCCATCTTCTCCTAGAATAGCCCCCTGCTTTCACTTCAGATCTTTTCATATGTAGCGACTGCGTTGGTTCTGGCTGCTTTCTATCTCAATGGCCAAACCATTTGATCTTCTGTTTCTCAATGCATTTGCTGCATGGTGTTGTTCCTTCAGTCCGTCTGATAATATCATTTCTAACTTTGTCTCGGATGGTTAAGTTGACCGCTTTTCTCAGGCATCTCATTTCACGGGTGTTAATTTTACATAGGTTAGTCTTTAATAATGTCCAAGTCTAACACTGGTAGCACAGTTTTGGTGTGAATGTGCTGTTTATAATAATCTGTTTCTTGGCGCTCATACTTATGTTTGGATGTTTTAATAACGGTGTCCTAAAACTATTACAGCGGGAAAGAACTTTTAATTTAATAATTTTTGTCCCCCATTTTATGTCGCCTCGGAACCGGCATGTTTTCTAATTTCAAAAGCTGTAGAGGTTAATGTAGCTGCTTTATAAGACAGTTGGACGCAGGCATGCACCACCGTACTGCACATCCATTTGCCGATGAATATCTATAAGTTTCACCTCTTCACCTAATTTTTTTTTTTTAAACAGATAATAGAAGTGGGGTTGCCATCTTTAAACTATCAGTATGACACTACCTTGTTCATCTGCACCATGTGTCATTTGCTTAACCCTCTAGAAATCTTTAACAACAATATTGACAGGTTATGTGACAGGGGCTTGTCATTTCTTTAACATTTTTAAGGTTTTCATTTAAAGCCGCCTCTTACGTGAGGTATGTTTAAAAAGGATCCAGCTTGTGGCTAGGTGAAAATACAAAAACACCACACGGCATGCACTTAAGAAGACGCTTTGGTTTTTCATTAGCTTTTAAGTGGAACAGTGGGAAGTATTTCATGTGATTTTCACTGGCACAGGAACTGAGCAATACTAGTGTGACACATTTGCGGTGAAATTGAAATCTTGACTACCGACTTGAGTTTTGCATCCGCTTTATAGATCTGACTTTATTTGTATGCAGACTGTTGGTTCGTCTCAAAGGAAACACCCCTAATTAGTCACCTCCGATGACATGCTTGTTAGCAGAGTCTGGGAACCCACTCGGGGATATTGTCACATAAGCCAGACTGTTATTTAATTCATTGTATCCAAAATGTTTTCATGTTCTCAGATCTGAAGCTCGCAAACTCAGCAAGGATGCCATGAAAATGAAAGTTCTACCAATGCATGGGAGTTTGCCATCTTCTGAGCAGGTGCCTTTTTGTTTTTGTTCTTCAAAATGTAGGTCATATATGTTATGAATGTTACAAATACCTTGGATGGCCAGAGTAACTAGCAACGATTGCTTGAAAAAAAGCTAATGAAAGTAGATCTCTATATACAACAATAAGAAAGAGATAAATACTCTTCTTTGGCCACATAATGAGAAGAGAGACTTTGGAGAACATCCTGACAACTGAAAAGATCAGGGAAAAGGGGGTAGATGCATACCAAGAGAGATGATGCTGGATGGGGTGAAATGATGACATGGAGGGATATCATCAAGAGAGCTGTTATAGGCAACCAGGGATCCTGATCTGTGGAGACGCTTGAACGCCTTCGCCAGTTGGGAGAGCACATGATGATGATGAGGTCATATATTATGATTCAGAACAAAATATTCCAATTGTGCATTTGTTCTTCAACATTTGCCATTAAAGATTTGAGTGGTACCTTTTGTTGTGGTTTACAACTAGGCTGTTTTTTTGTGTGGAAATCTTTAGGTGCTTTCTTAATATCCTACCCCAAACAGGGGAAATCCACAGGTCACAGGACAGTCTAATATTTCACGGGGTGGTAGATAGGCTGCATGCAGTCATGGGACCTAGCCTGCACTCTCTCGTGGGTTGGGGTTAGTGCCAGTTCTAGATGTTTTGTGGTCGTTAACAGCATCAGAAAGCAGGGAAACCCAGTCTTACCACACTGTATAAAGTTATACTGTCCTGTGACGTCATCTGGGGTCGGATATTACGAAAGAACCAATCTTTAATTAGTCATCATTTATTACATGCTTTAAAAGGAGCGTTCAGTCTGTTCTAATTTCCCTCCAAATGGGACCATAGAAACTACACAGAGATTGTCTTCATCATAATACTTTTTTTTTTTCATTTATTTGTCACATGAGGCTCATTCTCTATTCCGATCTATCTTATGTGATCTACTCAATATCATAGCTGGACTTCCGGCCTACAATGGCCGAGGCATGGCAGAATGATATGATTTGCGGTTGCTTTTACCTCCGACAGCACTTTGCTGGTGCAGTTTCCACATGTGGAAGGTAGTCTCTGGTTTCGCTACCTGAGCTACTGAGTTTAGTGCTTGGTGCAGCCCTGCGAGCTGTGTTTTTTCCATGGAATGCTCTTCATTTCTGCAGCAGTTGTATCGTGGTGTCCAATATGGCTGGTAGCCGATTTATGTGTGAGCTGGTTAAAAATCTTATGTAGCAATTCTGTGTGTGTATGTCATGCTTAACTACTTCCATCAATGACGGACTGCATTTCTGGTGGCGACTGTTGGCTTTGGCACCTCTGGCAACTGAAATATGCTCCCGCATATTTCTGGATTTTTTCCGGATCTAATTGTTGGTTGGTCAGTTTTTCAAATGCAACAGTAAGGGACATTGTATTTCATTTTCACTGGCACAGGAACGGAGCAAGTATGGGGAAACCCAATTGCAGTGATGCTGAAACCTCGACTAAGACTTAGCTGGAATCCATTCCAGTAACTTTGGAACCTCTCTCATCAACGTTTTTTGTAAGGTTTCTCTTTCACATTCTCATTTCCTTAATCCCTTTTTCCTCCATGTTGTGCCTCTTTGGTTATCTCTGCTTTTTTCTTCACAAGGTAACATCCAATATGGTGCCATCTTCTGTCTCATGGTTCTTGTTACAGCTGTTGCCCAGACATTTTTCTTATTTCTTCACTTGAATTTAACACATTTTGTGTTCATCATTTTCCTCAGCGAGCTGCAGTTTTGGTGTTGGACCGTTAGTGTTGGCATATTTGACAGATGCCTTATGCATTTTGACTTTGCCTGTGCAAGCTTCAAGAATTTGCTGGGACTGACATGTTTTTCGCCAGTTTTCAAATATGACATTGAGGGGACATTCATTTTGTGTTGTCTTTACTGGCACATGAATGGAGCACTTGTGGGTGACTTATCTGCAGTAATGTCGGAACCTGGACTAATTAACTTTTTTGTCTTCTTTGCGTTCACTGGCTGAAAACTACAGCAGAAAGTTTCGGACTTCAGTTTTGTTCCAAAACTTGAGTGTTGGGTTCATATCTGTTTCACAGCTCTGACTTATTTGTATGCAGACTGTTGGTTCCATGCCTCTCAGGCAGATGCACACCAACTTCGGAGAAAGCCCCAAGTTAGTCGATTCTTACGACATGCTTGTTAAGGGAGACAGCGGGTCTATCCTTGTTTTCCCCTCATTGGGGCCCCAAAACCCGCACAAGGAGACTAACAACTGCCTGACTGACTGAATGACTGACTGACTGAGTAAATGACTGACTGTGTGACTGACTGCGTGAATGGCTGACTGCCTGAGTGACTGAATAACTGTCTGAGTTAGTGACTAAATAACTGACTGACTGAATGGGTGACTGACTGACTATATTTTTTGTACGACAAAGTCACTAGATGGGAGTCATGATATAGTGGTGGCTAGCACTTCCCCTGTCAGCCTGAAGGTTTTGTTTGGTGGCTAGCACTTCACCTGTCAGCCTGAAGGTTTTGTTTGGTGGCTAGCACTTCACCTGTCAACCTGAAGGTTTTGGGTTTGACTCCTCATCAAGGTTGATATTTTGTCAACATAAGTTCCATTTATGTTTGTTTTAAAATAAGGAATTTTTGAACGTTTTTGAGCACACTAAATACTCTGCTACCACATCCTGAACATAATTTTCTAATTTTTTTGTTTCGTTTGTTTTCCCGATGAAGGTTTTTGAGTACACTAAGCACTGGTACCACATCCTGAAAATAAATTCCTGAGTTATTTGTTTTGTTTATCTGTATTGCTTGTGTGAAAGATTACAGTTTTTGAAACTTTCATTAAGCACATTGGCCACTATACAAACACATCCTGATTTGCTTAATAATTTATTTTGCTTACTTTCAGATGAAAGTTTTTGAAAGGACTCCCAGCAATACCAGGAAGATCGTCGTGGCAACCAACATTGCAGAAGCCTCCATTACAATACCAGCAATTACTTACAGTAAGTGACAACGGCTGACTTAAAGTTGAAGTCGAAACGATTGACATCAGTGCACCTGGTTTTATCCCATTTGGCTCAGTCGCTGTCCTCATAACACCCTGGAACCCACTAGACATTGGTTAAATAGTAGATAGTTTTCGTGGTTTTTGTAGGCAAATTTTACTGTTAGTATCTTTTCATTGCCTATGAACGGTCAGCTCTCTGTACCACTGTCATAACCAATGCACAACACACCGTTCACAGCTGGGATCGAACCTGGCTCTTGGGCATTATGAAGCACATTCACAACGCCTAAGCCACAGAGGCTGACTGTTAAATAGTAGATATAGATAGTAAGCAAAGTAATGGACCCTTTCTCCATGCCTCTAGACTTATTGAGCATATAGACCTGTATTTTATAGACCGGGGTTACTCGTGGGGTTTTTTGTCAACATCACACCGGCTGCCTTTACTTCCCAGGATTTTACCTGGTATCTGTTTAAATCTGGGTTGACCTGGGAGCCTATGTCATTTTTGACCATTCGGATTTTAAGAACCTTTGGATCCATAGGCAAGCGTCTAGACCCTACATCGCAGCGGCTCCCAATCAGTGAACTGGTTAAACAGTAGATAGTTTACTCTTTAAATTGTTCAATAGTAGATAATAACCTCCTTAATTAGTAGATAGTACCCTTATTAAATATTAGATAGTCCCTTCCTTAAATAGTAGGCTGTACGCTCAAATAGTAGATAGTACCTTCCTTAAATAGTAGACTGTACGCTCATCAAACAGTTGATAGTATACTATTAAAAAGTAGATAGTACCCTCGTCAGATTGTAGATAGTATCCTCATCAGATAGTAGATAGTACCCTCATCAAATAATAGATAGTACCCTCATTAAATAGTAGATAGTACCCTCATTAAATAGTATATAGTACCCTCATCAAATATTAGATAGTACCTCATCAAAAAGTGGATATTACCCTTATCAGATAGTAGATAGTACCCTCATCAAATAGTAGATACCACCTTCATCCAATAATAGATAGTACACTAATAAAAAGTCGATAGTACATCCATTTAATAGTAAACAGTGATCTAGTTAAACAGTACACTTGCTGAAGAATAGACAGTGAACTGATTAAATATAGGCAGTAGTTACCGAAAAGATGGTGAAATGGTTATAGGATCAGTAGTACACTGGTTAAATGGTAGATGTTGGTTGGTTAGCTAAGGTTTCAACATCACTGCAGATGGATCACCCATAACTTCTCACTCCTGTGCCAGTGGAAATCACACAATATACTGATCAAACAATAGAAGGTACACTGGTTAAACAATAGAAAGTACACTAGTCAAACAATAGAAAATACACTAGTCAAACAGTAGAAAGTACACTAATTAAACAATAGAAAGTACACTGATTTAACAATAGAAAGTACACTGGTTAAACAATAGAAAGTACACTGGTCAAACAATAGAAAGTACACTGGTTAAACAATAGAAAGTACACTGGTCAAACAATAGAAAGTACACTGGTCAAACAATAGAAAGTACACTGGTCAAACAATAGAAAGTACACTGGTCAAACATTAGACAGTGCACTGGTTAAACGTTAGACAGTACATGGTAAAACAACAGAAAGTATACTGGTTAAACAGTAGAAAACACACTGGTTAGAAAGCACATAGAAACCTAGTACAGCGGTCTCAGTAAAACTCCTAATTTTCATCTATCTTGTCTTTTTGCAGTCGTGGATACAGGGTTTGTCAAGCTGAAAGCTTACAACCCCAAGTCAGGAATCGGTATGTAATATGTGAAATTTTTGTCTGCTTGAGGTGAAAGTGATTTTTTATGTTTTTCTCAGTATAAATTTAGTTTGTTTTGTTTAATATATATATATATATATTCATCCTGTTTATTTAAGTTATATCTGTAGTGTTATGGTATTCTACGGTATGACTTGTTCTTTGTTAACACTTTGAAGATGATGCGGCCAATATATCAGGGGCACACACACACGCACGCGTGCACCCACAGAAACAATGACATTTTGGCAGCAGCCACTGTCAACAAAATTGAATCTCCCTAGTGCCCCGGACACTAATGACAGTTTAAAGATGGCCACCTCACTTTTGACATGCACCAAAGAGAAGCAGCATTCTATTTTGCTTGTTTTGATCAGTGGAGGGGTGAAAACTGTAGAAGTTCATCGAGAATGAAGGTCCACTAATGTAATGCATGATTGTCAGTCCAGCATGCGTGTGAGTGGAGTAGGACATTTTCAAAACATCTGACTTCTGTCACTGACTGTTCATGACCGGGTCACCTCCCTTACACTTTTGAGTTTTTTTTAATTTGAAGCCCACTTGTACTTTAAGGCTATCTGATTACATGACCTGGGAATTAAGCCTTTCCAAGCATGTCTGTACCATTTAAAGGTCCAGATAAGAAAGAGTAAAACCAGCTTCTCATGGGAACACAGACAATATTGGAGTGGCTGCTACATCTGAGGACTAAGCATGCATGAGAATGCCCAATATGCAGGGATGTAATAATATAACATACTATAACCTTTGGGAGTTGCCGTGGCGTGGCGGCTAGACACTCGCATGCGGATTGTAAGGTCATGGGTTTACTCCCTGGCGGAGCCAGACTTTATTTTCAAAAATTACCTTGACTCCCAGGTCAACCCAGCCTTGAGTGGGTACCAGGTGCAGTCCCAGGAAGTAAAGACAGCCGGTGTTATGCTGACCACATCACCCATCATGTGTCGATTGGTCTATAAAAATATAGGTCTAGCCCTATACGCCTAAGTGTAGAAAAGGGACCTTTACTTTACTTACTATAACCTTTCATGTTTGCTTGTTTCAGAGTCATTAGTTGTTGTTCCCGTATCCCAGGCTTCAGCAGATCAGAGGGCAGGACGTGCAGGGAGGGTCAGGGCAGGAAAAGCCTACAGATTATACACAGGTACACACATATTCCTTTACACGAGCTGCTGTCATCATCTGAAGGAGGCAGGTTCAAATCCTGGTGTGCTTGTAAAGTCTGTCAGTACCAAACAACTCTGCTGACAGTTTTATTTTCCATCTCTTGTCTTAAGATCTCAGGTGGGTATACTGACAGCGTCATGTGTGGTAACCACTGCAGCCAATTTTGACAATTTGACGTAAGAATTTCTGTAAATAAAGCAAGTAAGTGAGATCTGTAAAACAGATGTGCACGCAACACTCATGTTCTGGAACAATTCGAAAGTCCAGGCGTGGATGAACAACCAGAATTTTCTGCAGTTTACAGTCAGTGAACGAGAAGTAGACGAAGAAATTTCCTGAAACTGTGAGTGCTTAAAAATAATTAAACATTGAGGGTAATTCAGTTCAAAGATATCATTTCAGGAAAAGGAAAATCTATTTCAAGTGACTGAAAGAAGAGCATTCTTTTGTGTGACATTAATTGCAGAGGGCCGGCCCATGGATCACACAGACATTTTCGAATCCCTTAGAGAGATAGGACGTTCCAAGAATTTTGGAAGCATCGTGTCCACATCACTGCTAAGACTACAAGAATTGAGAGTAAAGATTGGCACAGCCAATCAGGGGAAGCATACTGAACGCACACAAAGTCTTGTCAACCAGCATTTTAGGACTGGCGCTATTAACAACCTGACGCTGATGAATATGTTGAAGGAGGAATCTGAGCACCTATGGGCGTGTCCGGAGTGCAGTGAAGATAATCCAATTCATAACTCACATTCTTTTGGTTGATAAATGCCATATTCTGCTAACATGGCATGACACCTTGCAATTTCTGGCTTTTCTCCAAAGATACAGTTTTTGCTAAAAGGGGTTTAATTTTGGTCACAAGGTTTAGACGAAGGATCAACATCATGGCACAAGGGTAGTAACCCATAAGTGCTCCAATCTACTTCTAACTCAAGCCTGAGTCCAAAGAATTTCAGTGCACAAACTCTGTAGCACCAGCGAGGATCCTGAAATACTTTGTGTAGATTTTTAACTCCACATTTTGCCCAGGCAGCATTATTAGGCTACTCTTTTCAATTTCCAACGGCCAAGGCATTTTTTTTTTTTACGAGCGCAACAATACACACGGGCGTCTGATCTTACTACCTAGAGACCAGGAAAAATTACTAGAAGTCCACAGGAAAAAATCTTGGCCTTCACTGGGGCTTGAACCTGAGACCTCCAGTACTCGAGGCAGACGCCATGCCTTGAGACCACGCAGCTCCCTAGTCTGTCACAAAAAGAGAGTATACAAACTATGACAGCTGTCCTGTACTCCAAAAATCTTCCTGTCTTTGAAACGATTATGGGCAAGTGTGTTTAGTCCCAACGAGATACCTTGACAGGGATTTTCTTCTTTACGTTCACCAGCTGTAAACTCTGGTGGAGAGTTCTGGTTGTTTGTCCACTTCTGGAATTTGGTCTTGTTCAGAACTTGAGTTTTGCTTCTACTTCCATTTTACATATTTGGCGTATATGTATGCAGACTATTGGTTCCTCGCCTCTCAGGCAGATATACTCTGACTTTGATAAAATCACACCTTTTAGTCGACTTTTGCCACATGCTTGTTGGGAGGCACTGGGTCTATTCTCATCCCCCCCCCCCCACACACACACATGCACACACACGTACACGCACGCACAAAGGGGCTCTAGAACCCACACAGAGTGGACAAGTGTGTTTAGTCTCAACGGGTTTACCTTGACAGGGATTAATGTTTCAGACCTCCGTGTGAATAGTTGTAATTTCCTGACCATGTGTAGAATCTTCTTATTCTTCAGCATTCCTAGCCCTTGAGGTTCATTGCTGCAGATACCACCCGCCTTCATTCATCTCTCTGGTTAGCCTTCTTCAGCATTCCTAGTCCTTGAGGTTCATTGCTGCAGATATCACCCTCCTTCATTCATCTCTCTGGTTAGCCTTCTTCAGCATTCCTAGTCCTTGAGGTTCATTGCTGCAGATATCACCCTCCTCCATTCATCTCTCTGGTTGGCCTTCTTCAGCATTCCTAGCCCTTGAGGTTCATTGCTGCAGATATCACCCTCTTCCATTCATCTCTCTGGTTGGCCTTCTTCAGCATTCCGAGCCCTTGAGGTTCATTGCTGCAGATATCACCCGCCTCCATTCATCTCTCTGGTTGGCCTTCTTCAGCATTCCTAGTCCTTGAGGTTCATTGCTGCAGATATCACCCTCCTCCATTCATCTCTCTGGTTGGCCTTCTTCAGCATTCCTAGCCCTTGAGGTTCATTGCTGCAGATATCACCCTCTTCCATTCATCTCTCTGGTTGGCCTTCTTCAGCATTCCGAGCCCTTGAGGTTCATTGCTGCAGATATCACCCGCCTCCATTCATCTCTCTGGTTGGCCTTCTCTTTCCAGTTGGTAACACCAAGTGTTTGCAGGTCTGTCTGAATGTTATCTCTCCATCGTCTTCTTCTTCATGTGTAGAACACTCTGAAAATACCTCCTGTACATTATGTTTTTATTGTCCCTGCTTACTCTAGAGGAGTCCTACAGGAAGTTGCCCCCTGCCACAGTCCCCGAGATGCAGCGGAGTGACCTGGCACCTGTCATTTTACAGCTCAAAGCGCTGGGGATTTCTAATGTACTGAGGTTCCATTTCATGTCAGTAAGTGAGGCATGTCAGTTAATAATGTTAGTAGGTAATTCAGTGATATCAGCTAGTATTTTCAGTGATGTTAAAGCAAGGGATGTCAGTGATGATGTCCTGGCACCTGTCCTTTTACAGTCCGTCAGTAAGTGAGGCAGAGAAAGATACCTATGTCAACCAAAGCAAATCTCATAAGAACGGTTGTTTGGCCGACATTGTGCTACCAGTGTCAAACATGGCACTTACTACAACCCTTACTACAACTAATGAGCGCAAGATCATAACAACAGAGATGAGATATCTTAGAAGAGCTTCCAGTGTAACAAGAAGAGAGAAAATCAAGAATAAAGAAATTAGAAGAATACTAGGACTGAAACCAGTCATACAATCATTAAAGAACAACAAATGAGATGGTTTGGCCACCTGACTAGAATGCCCTGGTACCAACTGCCACAGAGAGCCACGCTGAAGAAATATAATGAACACATATCTAGAGGAAACCACACAACAAATGGAGCAACATTATCAAGAGGAACCTAACAGAAATGAACACCAGCTTGTACAGTGCATTGGAAAAAGCGCACAAAAGATCCTTACATCTCCCCTAACACATCGCTGAGGTAAATAGTGAGAGAGAAGAAGATGAAGTGAGGCAGTGTTAGTTAATAATGTGAATAAGTGTTGTCAGTTAGTAGTGTCAGTGATGCCAGTAAACTGTATCAAGAATGTCAGTAAGTTGTGTCAGCATTTAATGTCCGTAAATAATGTAACTGATGTCAGTTAGTGCAGTCAGTCAGTAATGTCACTGAAAAAAGTTGAAGGTTAACATTGAGAGGATCGACTTCATTGCACCGGATTTTATCCCATACGGCTCGGTCTCTCTCAGCAGAACGGCTAGCTGACTAGGAGAGTGCCGCAAAGACCCTGAACTCCAAAGTCCGGGGTGATCCCCAAGGATCTCTGTTAAAAACTGTGCTCATGAACTGAAGGCTGCAGCCATGAAACAAACCCATGAACTTCAAAACATGAGGCAGCCTGCTTGACCACTTCGCCACAGAGACCCCCGAATGGTCATTGATGTCAGATCCCTCGAAGTCGGAGAGTACATCTGCCAGTGAGGCAGTGAATAGCAAACAAATAAGCCAGTAAAATGGGTGCACATTTAATAACCCAGGTCCTGGTAAAAGCCAAAAGTTTTGATTCACAACATTAAATATGAGTTTGATTATAATATAAGTATGAGAGTAGGGGTATCCCCGAAAGTTGAGCTGTTTTAACCAGGTGTTGAACGTCGTCATGACCTGGAGAGAACGATGATGGAGGGTACAGTTTCTTAAAAACAAAACAGCTCTTGGCTGTGAAAGCACATAGGGCTAGAGAATTGGTTAGAGAAAGAGAGAATTTCAGGCGTGCCGCGACGAGAGCGACGTTCTGTAAATGATCTGCTTATTGATTGATTGATTGATTGATTGATTGATTGATTGATTAAGAGTGGAGCTGTAGCAGCACAATGGCTAGAAGCTTTTGCCTGCCCCAGAGAATGTGGGTTTGAATCCAGGTCAGGGGAAATGTCAAAAAGTTTACCTAGTATATCCACATCTGCCAGTTCTGTTAAGGGTAGCAGGAAATTTCTTCTTTTTTTTTTTTTTGTTCCCTGCCAATGATTTTTAGATGTACACAGAATTTAAAATCGGCAATTCAGCCATGTGCACATGTGGATTGGCACCTGAGATAACAGATTATGTCCTCCAAAACTGTCCCAAATACAACATATTAAGGCAAAACTTTTTGCCAAGAGAAACACCAGTTGAAGCCAAACTTTACGGGTCACTGAGCCATTAAATGCTCAAAAACAATTGAACATTGAGTGTAATTCAGTCAAAAGATATCATTTCAGGAAAAGAACAATCTCTTTCAAGTGACTGAAAAAATAACATTTTATTTTTAATTTGTAAACTTCATATTCTGCTAACATTGAAGTTATGCCTCTTTGAAGTCTGTGATGCGACACATGTCTTCTGCTGTTCCATACAATTTGGTTTCCACTGGAATGCCAACCAGCCAAACCTGAGATCTCTCTACTGCATGTAGAGAGCAGGTCTGCAGCAAATATTGAATACTCTGTCCACGTGAGCATAGTTCAGGCAGCAGGATCCCCGTGTGGGTTCTGGGGCCCAATTGTCGGGGACAACAAGAACAGACCCACTGCCTGCCCCGAAAGCATGTCGTAAGAGTTGACTAACTGGGAGCTTGCTTCAAAGTTGGAGTACATCTGAATGAGAGGCACGGAACTAACAGTCTGCATGAAAATGAGTCAGACCTGTGAAACAGATGTGCAGGCAACACTCAGTTTTGGGAACAGGACCAGAGATCACGTCACCTGTCTTGTCTTGAATGCTCAAATCTTCACCCAGATGAACCCCCAGGTGCCCATGTTCAAATATGAGGCTGGTGGCATTATAAACAATTGTTGCTTGTCTCACTCTACAGCCACCACCTGCCCAGAACATGATCAGAGGCCTGGAGCTGTTGTACGCTTTGGGAGGTAAGATAAGAGAAAGTTTGGTTCATTCATTCATCTACTAGCCTCTCCTGTATGCAGCTTTGCCCTGATAACGGTCTTTTGAAAGTTATTCATTATTTATTCTTTAATGCAGTGTTTCCCAAAACTTTCTTAATTGTGGGTCCTTTTTTCAATTAAAATTGTTCCATGGTGCCCTAACCTAAGTAAAAGTATGACTATTCGTATCTGAGAGATAAAAAAATATATATATATATATATATATATTTTCGCCATAAATCCCATGCCTCCATTGTGTTGAATTCAAGATCGACATAGCGCTAAGGACACTCCTATAAGCGCTCCATCCCCCATCTTTAGCAGCAAGCGAAGAGTTCCAATTCCGTTGGTACCAGTAACTGATTGTACATCCATCTCGCCTTTCCCCTGAGTCTTGAGTATTGAACCGATCTCCTGGTAACTATCTGCAGCGCCATTCTCCTCAGATCATGTATGTGTGCGTCAGTGAGTGGTTGGCGTGTGTAATGAATGTGGATGTATTTACGTGTGAGTGCGTGTGTGCACATGCATTTTATCACCCTTTTTTGTGTTTTTTCTTTACATATTTTCTCCACGGTATGCCGGTGTGTTGGGGAAATTAGTAGGCAGAAAGACTGGCTGGTTCTGCACCCCGTGGTGATGAACTGAATCATGAAAAGCTATAATTTGTAATAGTCCTATGGAGGCAAGTAAACAGTACAAAGGTACACATAGATTATCACGGTCTGAGGAAAATGGAGTGACCAGATGATCTGGCCAGTGATTAACACTCGAGAAAATTGAGACAGATATACATTCAGACTGTAACTGGTGCTATCACAGTTGAAACTCTACACTTGCTGCTGAAGATGGGACAAGAGCGCATGTAGAAATGTAGAAGTGCATTCAACATTCCCATGTGTAGTTACGCTTTTTTTTTCTCTCTAAAGATCTAATGTATGAGATGAATTTATCAAGATGCAAACTGTGTGTATTTCCAGCCTTGGATGATGCAGGGAACCTCACGTCTCCTCTTGGTTTGCAGATGGCAGAGTTTCCCCTGTCCCCATCATTTTCTAAGATGCTTCTCTCATCAGGTATTTTCTCTTGCTTAGTTAATTGGCTAGTTAGTTAGTTAGCTAGTTAGTTAGCTAGCTAGTTAGTCAGTTGTTGGTCGGTCAGTTAGTTAGTTAGTTAATCAGTTGTCAGTCAGTTAGTTAGTTAGCTAGTTAGTTAGTTAGTTAGCTAGTTAGTTAGCTAGCTAGTTTGTCAGTTGTCAGCGAGTTAGTTAGTTAGTTTGTTAGTTTCTTAGTTAGTCAATCAGTTGTCGGTCAGTCAGTCAGTTAGTTAGTTAGTTTGTTTGTTAGTTAGTTAGTTAATTAGTTAGTCAGTTTGTTTGTTTGTCAGTCGAGATTCCAACATCATTGCAAATGGGTCACCCCATGCTCCATTCCTGTGCCAGTGAAAATTACACAAAATGTCCCTTACTGTCTAATTTGTGGTGGTGGTGGTGGCATTTTCAGTCCCAGCTAAATCTGGCAGCTTGCACATGCAAAAAGTAAAAATGCAGAAGGCTACTGTTAAATGTGCCAGAATTAACCAGACTCAACAATTTTAGCATTTTTCAATAAATATCTACTGGACTACATCCTTCAAATGAAAGAAAGTGAACCGCTGCTGTTGGAGCTATTTTTAGACCAATTATGGATCAATTCAGCCATTTTCTTGATGGTCAGAAAAAAAAGAACGTAGGCCTTATGAGACGCATACTCTATTTTTCAGGGCTTACTATTTACCACATGACTATGATATACTCATGCCCATCATACGCGTAATTACGTGCAATGCTACGCGTACGGGTGTCAAATGAGTGTGCCTGATATAAAGGGCTGCATAGGCCAGCCATGATTTTTATATACAGACTGCAACAGCCTTGGGCTTTTTTGTAATCAAGATTTGTTGCTGGTTGTTTGTTTGCCTTAATCGGCTGTAAACCCCCGGCCAAAAGACCTGGTTGTTCGTCCATTTCCGGACTTTTGCTTTGTTCCAGGACCTGAGTTTTGCATATGCATACGTTTTACAGATCTTGCTTATCTGTAAGCAGACTGTTGATATCTAGTCTCTCAGGCAGATGCACTCTGACTTTGAAGGAAGCTCCCAATTAGTCGACATGCTTTTGGGTAGACCGTGGGTCTTTTCTTGTTTTTCCCCCCGAAACCACACGGGTAAGGAAGATTTGAAATGCTTCATTAGAGCTCCATATTGTAATTTTGCCTTTCTCATTATACTTTTTTAGGAGAATTTGGTTGCTCAGAAGAAGCTATAATTGTTTGTGCGATGACACAGATTCAGAATGTGTTTGTTACACCGTCCGACAAGAAAGTGGCATCTGTAAGTGTTTTATAGAATGTATAGTTGCAGTGTGGAGAAAATATTGCATTGTTAAGTGATTTATAGAATATTTTAAATAGAAATAGCA